AGATTCACAAGAGTTTGAGACTATGTTCAATCTTAGATTTCTCATCACTCTAGCCATATCAAGCTGCTGCTTGTTTTCTGTGCTTCTGTTTCTCATGTGTTTATCCCAATGCTTGGAGTTCTTATTCTTTGTCATCTAGGAGACTGAGATGATGATTCATCTCTCACTCCGGGGCTAGATTTTTATTACTCCAAGCCAGTCAACTCAAGGCATTTCCCTGTAAACTGTTATTTGTACCAGTAAGGTTGAAGGGAAAGAGACATTCTATTTCTGGGGGGAGAGGATTTTTCCCTTTTTGTAAACGAACAAGAGAACATGTGATCCAAATTGCCACTGGGATGATAAAGCGTGCCCTGAGGATGGCAGAGCAGTGAGGTAGCATGTACTTGTGTCCAGATAACATCATTTTAGACATATATTGGGCCTGCGGCTTTCCCTAACCCAGGATTTCTCCTCATGACAGATAAATTTTTTATTGGTTAAACCAATTCTTTGGAGTTATTTGCCGTAAAAAAAATCTGATTGATACAATCCTGACTATTCTTTTAGACCCAGTTCAAATATTATCTTTACCAGTAGTTCTACGCTCACTCTCTTAGTACTCTGGACCTCCCTGCCAGCCCTTACTGCACTGTACAGTAATCACTTGCTTGTATGTCCGACTTCTCCACAAAACTGTATACTTTGCTGGCCAGCGTGGCTCAGTGGTTGAGTGTCGACCTATGAACCAGGAAGTCCTGGTTCAATTTCTGGTCAGGGCACATTCCTGGGTTGCGGGCTCGATCCCCAGTGTGGAGCGTATAGGAGGCAACTGATCAATGATTCTCTCTCATCGTTTATGTTCCTATCTCTCCCTCCCCCTTCCTCTCTGAAATCAATAGTGTGTTTGTGTGTGTGTGTGTGTGTGTTTGTGTGTGTGTGTGTGTGTGTGTGTGTACGTGTACATATCCTATATAATAAAAGCATAGTATGCAAATTGTCCCCTCAACTGGGAGTTCATCCGGGAGTTCGATCAGGGAAAGGGAGGGAGAACTCAGCAATGACAGATGTGGCAGAACAAGATGATGGCCAGGGGAAGGGAGGAAGTATGTAGCCGGCAGCTGATAGGCACCCTACCAGTGCATGAATTTTGTGCATTGGGCCTCCACACACACACACACACACATACATACACACACACACACACAGTGTACTTTGAAACCACAGCCTATAATATGTAGCATAATGTCTGGTAGGTACACATAATAGGTACATACTCAGTAAGTAAATTGTTGGGATGAAATAATAACATTAAAAAGTGCTTTGTAAATATTTTTAAAATAAACCTGAGATATGGTATTATCTTTAAACTAAAAAGAAATGGAAAAGCAGTTAGATCAGACATCAAAATGGTTTTAGCTTGCCCTTATTTTCTAAAAGTGTTCACTTAGATAAAAAGTTTGACAGTCCCTTAAATATTATGAAAAAACCTTACCTACTAAAGAGAAATCCTAGAAAGAGAATTGTGTTGTTACTGCAATTCTCTCCTTCTTTCTCTCCCTCCCTCCCTTTTTTCTTTCTTTTAGAAGACTTGAATGCCAGTACTAACTTCAAAGTACAATATATGTCTTTTTCCTCTATATTTTGAAATGATATTAAGCCTGTTTTATCTGGGATTTACTTGTGAATTGTTTTTTAGAGGAAAATTTCATAATTTGCTTCATAAGACCTAGTTATTATTGTCTTCAGACTTTCCCAAAATATTTTTTGCTTGCTTGAAACTAGACATGAGAATTTTCTGGTAAGCAAAAAAGCTTTGTGGCAGAAACAGATGAGTTTGTAGCAAATGTTAGTAATAGCTTATGAAGAAGAAATCTTATTTAAACTTCAATTACTAAGAGTTCTGGTACATGCTTCAACAATAAAGTCTGACAAGAGTTAAAATTCCCAGATCAAAGGATTGAAACCCATCAAATATGGTTAAATCCACAAATGCATGGAATTGTTTTTATTTTTATTGATTTCAGAGAGAAAGGGGGAGGAAGAGAGACAGAAACATCAGAGATGAGAGAGGATCATTGATTGGCTGCCTCCTGCAAGCTCGCTACTGGGGATGAAGCCTGCAACCCAGGCATGTGCCCTTGACCAGAATCGAACCTCATACCCTTCAGTCCTCAGGCCGATGATCTATCCACTGAGCCAGACCAACCAGGGCTAAAATTCTTTTTAAAAAGCTCACTAATTGCCTGGCCAGTGTGGTTCAGTGGTTGAGCAGATGGTTGACTCCCAGGTTTCTACAGGAGGAGGTTGATTAGTGATTCTCTGTCATCATTGAGCTTCTCTCTCTCTTCCTTTCCCTTCCTCTCTGAAATGAATAAAAATATATGTTTTTTAAAAACTTGCTGATTATATTGAGAGGATGATGGGAAGTTAATTATTTGAAAAAATTGTTAAATAAAGGTAAAAATTTATTCTGCCTTTTCTGTACAAACTGTACATCAAACAATTGAATAGTTGAGTTTTCTCACAGAGAAGTATTCCAATGAATGCTTAAAGAAGGAATAACAGAATATTTTCATGTTGCAATCCTAATGAATTAATAATGACTGTAGTTTGGTGATCATTGAAAATTGTTAATATCACAGATTGAGAAGTGGACATTTTGTACTTATTGAAAGTACACACCACCACCTGTGAAACAGTCTTGGCAAAATAAACTTTAAAAATACAACAATGAGCCGAAACCGGTTTGGCTCAGCGGTAGAGCGTCGGTCTGTGGACTGAAAGGTCCCAAGTTCGATTCCGGTCAAGGGCATGTACGTTGGTTGCGGGCACATCCCCCTGGTAGGGGGTGTGCAAGAGGCAGCTGGTCGATGTTTCTCTCTCGTTGACGTTTCTAGCTCTCTATCTCTCTCCCTTCCTCCCTTTAAAAAATCAATAAAATATATTTTTAAAAAATACAACAATGATCCTGAATCTAATAACTGGATCCTCCTGAATCTAGTCACTAGGTCTAATTATCAATTACAGGAAATACAGGGGTCAGAGGAACATTTTAAACTACATCATGGTGATGTGTTTGTCAAAATCCAGATTATGAGAAACTACCAGATAACCTGGTTTCTTTAACAAAGCAAATTGCCAGAGGAAAAAGAAGAGATGCAGGGAGGAACTTGTTAAAGAAGATTTAAGAGCCCTGGCCAGTGTGCCTCTGTGGTTTTAGGGCATCATTCTGCACATAGGATCACAGGTTTGATTTCCAGGCAATGGTACTTACCTGAGTTGCAGGTTCAATCTCTGGCCCCAGTTACGGTGTGTATGGGAGGCAACCAATCACTGTCTCTCCCTCACCAATGTGCCCCCTTCCCTCTTTCTACCTCTCCCTCTCCCTCTCCCTCTCTCCTCTTCCTCCTTTTCCTCCCCCTCCTCCTCCTCCTCTTCCTCCTCCTTTCTCCCCTTTCCTCCTCCTCTCACCCCCTTCCTCCCTTCTACTCTCTGAAATAATCAATGGAGAAAATATTCTTGGGTGAAAATTAATAATAATAATAATAAAAAGATTAAAGGGAATAGTCATCCATTCACAATGTATGAACCCTATTTGGACTCTGATTAAAAAAAAAAAAAAGCCAAGAGAGAAAATGAAACACTGCCTGGAAAGTTCTTAATTAAGAAATTGTCCTTCGTTATTTTAAATGTGATTCTGGTATTGTAGCTATTTCTTTACATCCTTTCTTTTAGAGATGACTAAGGAAATATATCTGGGACTTGGCTTCAAAATAATCCAGAGGGATTGGTAGAGAGTGGATTGCGATATAGGGTTAAAATACTACCACAAATTGGTAATTGTTGAAATTTGGTGGTGGATGGAGGTTTGTTTTATTCTCTCTGTATGTTTTTTCTTTATTACAGAAGTTACAAAAGTATCTCCTGCAGAAGAGGAAAGCACAAGTAATAGGAAAGAGTGAAAATAGAGCATAGTCATAATTGTCTTTGCTGTTTGAATGCCAGGAGGTTGAATATAATCCACAATCCAGAAACTTTTTATTGCTCACCAACAATGCAGAGCATTGGAGATTAATTTAAGATCTGTTTCTTAATTTTAGATGGGGCCGATAGAGTGGAAATATTAGCAGTTTAAGACTTGAGTAACAAAAGCAGCAGTGTGGTAGGCATAGAGTAGCAGAACGAAGGCATGGCTGTTCTCTTCAGAAAGGTTGGTATTGGACTGGATGCTTTTGAGATGCTTTCTTGTTTAGGGAAGAATACACTAAATTAGGGATCAAAATGCCTTGGATTTACTGTAGTTGTGAAGTTTTGCCATTTTACCATATATATTTTACTTTGGATAAGTCACTTAACATTCTACCTTTACTGCCTCATTCAAAAATAAGAAAATTTGGCCTGTCCTGTTTACATTGAAGATTTAATGTGAAAATAAAATGACTTAATGTGTGAAAAAGCCCTTGTAAACCATATATCCCTCATAAGATACTTGACCACTCAACTGTTCGCTATGATATGCACTGACCACCAGGGAGCAGATGCTTCAACTAGTAGGTTAGCTTGCTGCTGGAGTCCAGCCAATTGGGACTGAGCAAGATGAGCCCAACATGCCCTGGAGCCCTCCTGCGGTCCCTCCCTAGCCCTGATCCTTGGCCTGGCCTGTGCCCTCTCACAATCTGGGATCCCTTGGGGATGTTGGAGAGCCGATTTCGTCCTGATCCCACAGGCCACTTCCCTTGGGAGGGCACCAGATGCAGGGATCATAGCTGGTGAGGGCTGCTATGTCAGCACTAGCCTCTCCCAATTAGGATTGATTGGGTTTGAGCCCACAGCAGGCCCAATGGGGCCAGGATAACTGGGAGCTGCAGGTAGGAGCTGCAGGAGGCACTGGACTGTGGGTTTCAGCCCAGTCCCCACAGGCCACCCCGAGGGACCCCATCTGTGCACAAATTTGTGAACTGGGCCTCTAGTCTATATAAAAGGCTAAGTGTCTGTCCAACCAGTAGCTATATGCACACTGACCATCAGGGGGCAGATGCTCAATTCAGGAGATACCATGACGAGCACTGGCCATTTAAAAATAAACGGCACCACGAACCTGGTGCTGACCAACAACACTGCTTCCCCCAAGTGGGACACAGGCTGCGCCACCACCCCGGAGTGACACCCCACTAAATCGCAGCCAATGCTGCCAAGGCCCCATGGTGCAAAATGTGGCCCACAGCCCAGCTCAACCTGGAAATAGTCACTGTGGGACTGGCTAATGACATCACGTAGCAACGCACAGCTTCCTCTCCCTACAACTAGCCTCTTGGAGTTTCTTCAGCCCAGGAAACGACTTGCTTGGTAGCCAGGTGCAAACATTTTACACTTTAACCAAATGTATGTGATGTGTTTTCCTGTGCCTCATCTCATTTGATTCTCAAAGAAGTCCTAGAGTTGGTAGATAGGAGACTCAGTGAAAAATGAAAAAGGTTTAGAAAATTTAGAAACTTGATCCGACTGAAAAGAAGTAAGGAATGGTGGACCTTGAAAATGACTTCAGATTTTTTCACTGCGCAGAATATAGTCAAACACTGCTACAGTTAAATATTTTACCCTTTGTTCTCTCTGTGTGATCTACAGTAATAATCTGCTTTGTGTTGATATTTACTGTGTTGCAGACAGTTACCTGAAAGAGAAGTTGGGGTGCTTCATTGGGCTGGAAAAAGTTTAGCTAAATCAGAAAGCAGGTCTGATTAAGCAAGTTTATTCTATATATATATATAAAAGGCTATGTTGACATGCACATGCATGATACATATAAAGCTCCCGCTGGCGCCAATTGCATGCATGTGTTTCCATCTGTCATTGTTGATTATGAATTTGGTTGACAATTCTATTATAGAGAAAGGGTGAATAGTGATATTAAAATGTATTTTCTACTTAATTTCCTTTCAATGTGCACAAATCCATGTACTTGGACACTAATTTGTAAATAAAATCCTCAATCAGAAGTAGATGAATTAGCCGGGACCAGTTTGGCTCAGTAGATAGAGCGTCGGCCTGCGGACTAAAGGGTCCCAGGTTCGATTCCGGTCGAGGGCATGTACCTTGGTTGCGGGCACATCCCCAGTAGCGGGTGTGCAAGAGGCAGCTGATTGATTATTCTCTCTCATCGATGTTTCTAACTCTCTATCCCTCTCTCTTCCTCTCTGTAAAAAATCAATAAAATATATTAAAAAAAAGAAAAAAAAAGAAAAGAACAATGATTGTATTTATTCATTCAAATATTGTGTGCCTGGCTTAAAGGTAGTCTATCTATCATAAACCAAATGGCACCATTACGTTTAAGATAGCCGATTAGGCAGATTCTACAGTCTTTCTTGGAGAGCTTTCATAGTCATTTCTACCTTCTGCTTGTAGGCCCTATTTCCTAGCTGTTGGGGGAGAGGGGAATTTGGCTCTTTTAGAGCTGCCTCAGTTGGGGTTGGGGGGATCTAGATGCTAGGAGAAAACAACAAACATTTTAATTAGTTAGGTATGATAAGGCCAAGCAGCTCCTATTTTGCCTGCTGTGTTTGTTAATTCTCTGGCCCAGGCATCCTTCCTAATCAGGTTTTAGTTAGCACTGCCAAAGGCTCATGGAAGGGGGTAAGCAAGGCCTGGGGCCGAGAGTCAGGCTTCAGGACCTTTTCAGCCCTCTGTTTCCATTTTTCCACCTGTTACTTCAGGAGGATGCTCTTCTGAGGTTTTAAGTCTGGACAAAGCATTTTGAATATGAGCTCTAGGTAAAAGTGGCAGAGTAAGCGGTCCATTCAGGTCTCTGTAGTGTAACTGCATAGGTTGTGTTACCTATCACTTTCCAGTAATAGATCCTCAGCTTTAAGTGTCTAGAAACTGAATTTTTCAGAATACCTGAACATCTCTAATATGTATTTCATCCAGGCCAGGTAAGACCTGGCACAATACCAGGTCCCTCATGAATGCTCTTCTCTTGTGATGAATTACTTCTGCTTTCCAGTGTTCAGTTCATTTTTATTATCTTACTAGAGGCCCGGTGCATGAAAACTCATGCACTAAAGGGGGGTCCCTTAGCCGGCCTGACACCTCTCACAGTCCAGGAGCTTTAGGGGCAGGAGGCGACAATCCATCACACCTCTGCTGCTGCCACTCACGGCAGCACAAGCCACAGCCAGCCCTGTTTACTTGAGCCTCAGGCAGCCTTGGGCAGGTGGGCAGCCACCATTCAGGGCTTGCCTACGCCTTGGGCTGGCCCTGGATAGCTGGGGGACTGAGGAGACTGGGGGACTCCGGAGGTAGGTGTATGGGGCGGGCCCGGCCTTGCCACATGCCTGCTGCCCCAGCAGGGCTGAGGGGACTGGGTGCTGCCATCTTTGAGGTTATGGCAGTCAGTTAGCATATTCCCTCTTTATTGGCTGTGAGACGCCGTCATCTTTGCGACGGCATGAGGGTCAATTGGTATATTCCCTCTTTATTAGATAGGACTAGAAGCAGGATGCACAAAATTCATGCAAGGGGCTTGGCCCTCGCAATCTCTCCTGGCTCTCACAGCCCCTCACAGCCCAGGCCAACCCTTGTAGCCAGCCCCAGCTGCCTTCGCTGGCCCTTGCATTCCCGGCTTCATTTGGAAGGTTGTCTGGAAGGTTGTTCAGCTGTTTGGTCTAATTAGTACATTAGCTCTTTATTATATTGGTTTTAACTCTTAAAACAACCTTGCAAAGTAGGTGATTTATCCTCATTTTAAAGATAAGGAAAGTCACTTGCTTATTAACACTTTTCTGGACCATAGTAAGAATCTTTGAAAAGGTCTTGCATCAAATATCTTCTGCCTTGAGGACATTTAGTAATCTTTCTAAAACACAAATATAAAGATCCTTCTCTACTGTTCTATGCTTTGCTCCAGTAGTTCCTCCATGTGTTCTTTTTTTTTTTAATTTATTGGGGTGACATTAATAAAATTATATAGGTTTTAAGTGTACAATTTTATAATACATCATCTGTGTATTGTGTATTTACTCCATTGTGTTCTGAATAAAGGCCCAACACTTTCATGAGATTTGAGGCTTTTTGACACAACTCCTCCCCATACATTGAACATAAAAACTCTAGATACGTGTATACTGTGATCACAATCATTATTATAACACCCAGCAGTTATTGAGTATTCTGAGCCAGTCATTCTTAAGCAATTTATTTACATGAATTAACTGCTTTAATTTTCTCAATGTGAGGTATAGCTGTGTTATCATCTCTACTTCTTTGAAGAAAGTCTTTTTTTAATTTATTGATTTAAGAGAGATAGAAACAGACATTGATTTATTGCTCCACTTATTTATGCATTCATTGGTCGATTCTTTTATGTGCCCTGACACATTATTTATCAACATTTATGATAATAGCTAACATTTATTTTTTTAAATAATTGTGTATCTACTTTGTGTTCTGTGGTGATGGTGAGGATTCTAAGGTAAATAAGCTGAGTACCTATCCTCAGGAAAAGTAATTATGCTGCAATATTAGTAGGTAATAAAGGTATAGGTTTATGAGAACTGGGAATGGGGTGCTGACCAGGACAGGATTATTTCTATTCATACTGTTTCTAATACCTCAAATGACCTTTCCTTTCTTATTTAATGCACTCTTATTCTTGAAGGTCTGGCTCTAAACTAGGAAGCCAGAACAGTAGTCTTTTTCTTAATTTCATAAGAGATCCTATTCAGGATGTAATCACTGCTGTATCCCAAGGCCTGTGTAAGTGTCTAGCAGATGGTAAATGATCAGAATTGGATGGATGATTGAGTGGGTGGAGGGGTGGACTATCAAGTATAAAAAAGTGTCATCCTGCCATCAAGGAACATATAGTCTAGCTGTAAGTATTCAGAAAGACACTTTTGCTTTGATTTCATGAGCTATCCTTTCAGTTAAGTCATTTTTGCTTACCATGAAAGATCCTTTTTAAGTAACAAAAGTAACACTGTCAGGTGTGTACTCATTTCTCATTTTTGGAATGGAACTATGTTTGCCTGCTCTGGAAATTTTTTCTTAAAACATTTAGGAGTGGGGAAAATGGCAAAGATAATATTAGTTCATCAGAGCCTGAATGCCAAGCCTGGTTTTGCAATTTACCTGCTCTGTGGCCTTGGTTAAGTAACTAAGCCTTTTCATGCTTCACTTTCCTCACTTCCTAGTCTCCTTGTGTAAAGTGGGGATAAGCACTAACTGGGCATCTTAGTTGGTTAGTGCATTGTTCCAATATGCCAAAGTTGAGGATTTGATTCCTGGTCAGGGCATATAAAAGGATTGACCAATGAATGCATAAATAAGTGGAGCAATAAATCAATGTCTGTTTCTATCTATCTCTCTTAAATCAATAAATTTAAAATAAAAAAAGACTTCCTTCAAAGAAGTAAAGTGGGGATGATAATACAGCTATTCCTCACATTATTGAGAAAATTAAAGGAGTTAATTCATGTAAACAAATTGCTTAAGAATGACTGGCTCAGAATACTCAATAACTGATGGGTGTTATAATAATGATTGTGATTACAGTATACATATATCTAGATTTTTATTTCTAAGAGAAGCTAATAACAGACATTTAAGTGCTAGCTATAAGCTTTACATATTAAATTTAAACATTTACATATAAGCTGGAACAATTTTGATAATTCTGGAATCTGGAGGTTTCAGGGCTCAGTGTACTATTCTCTTTTGTGTAGTTTTGAAATTTTTTATGATACAATTTATTTTGAATATGTTTATATTGACTTTAGAGAGAGAGAAGGGATAAGGGTAGAGAGAGAGAAAAAACAAGACAAAACTATGAGAGACATCTATCAGCTGCCTCCTGCATGCCCCCTACTGGAGACTGAGCCCACAATCTGGGCATGTGCCATGATCAGAACCAAATTGGGGACCTCCTGGCTCCTGGATTGATGCTCAATTACTGAGCAACTCCCTTCGCTCATGATACAATTTAAAATCAGAAATTTGGGGCAGTGATGCTGAATACTTCCTTTTGGAGT